AAAACCAGTTTTGCAATTAGGGAGAGAGAAGAAGTAGAAAATACTTGAGTGATTAGCTCCATTGCTGGAGTCCATTAGAATGACACCCCTCTTGGCTTCCTGAGTAGAGATTCTCAGCACTATGTACATATTAGAATGTTCTGGATACTTTAAAAATGACCAAGGTCTGGGTGTCACTCCAACAGATAATTATCTACCTAATCTGGGGTAGATTCTGGGCATAAGTATATATTTTAGAATAAATGTGATCAGCAAAATATTGTCCCCAGATGTGCCATGTTTCCAGAATCTGTCAATATGGATTTTCAGGATGTGATTAAGGCTGCAGACCCTGACGTGGAGAGATTATCCTGAGTTATCTGGCCAGGACCAATCTAATTACAGGAAACCTTAAAAATCAAAGAATGCCTCCTGATGAAAGTCACAGATGGGACAGAAAAAGAAAGGAGAGACTTGAAGTATGAGAGTGACTCAAATCAGCAATACTTCCTTGGAAGAAGGGAGAAGGGGGTCATGAGCCAGGGAATGCAGGACCCCTCTAGAACTGGCCTTACCCTCAGCTAACATCCAACAAAGAAACAGGAACATCAGTCCTACAACCAGAGGAGCTGAATTCTGCAAATGCCCCAACTGAACAAGAAAACAAATTCTCCCCTAGAATGTGTAGAAAAGAACACAGCGCCTCCGATGCCCAGCGAGACCTCAGTCACGCTCCTGATCCGTAGAACCGGGTAATATTAGATTTATATTGTTTAAGTTCTTGAGTCTCTGGCAATTTGTTTGTAATTAATTAGAATAATTTTGCATATATTATGCATAAATAATAGTGATAGAGTACATAAATAAATAATAATAGAATAAAATTTGAATTTAGAGTAGTTTTAGATTTACAGAAAAGTTGAAAAGATAGTACAGAAAGTTCCCATATAGCCCACTCCCAGATTCCTCTTCATTAACACCTTATATTAGGGTGCTGCCGTGGTCACCGATAATGAACCAATACTGATGCATTATTACTAACTAAGTCCATACTTTATCCAGACTGGCTTAGCTTTTACTGAATGTTATTTTTCTGTTTCGGATCCCATCCAGAATACCTCAGTACTTTTAATCATCATGTCTCCATAGGCACTTCAAGGCTGTGACAGTTTCTCAGACTTTCCTCATTTTTGATAACCTTGACAGTTTTCAGGAATACAGTCAGGTATTTTCTAGAATGTCCAATTTGGACTTTGATATTTTTTTTCTGGGGTTAGGGGGTTTTGAGAGAAAAACCATAAAGGTAAAGTATCATTTTCATCACATTGTATCAAGGGTACATGCTATCGTCATGACTTATCAGTAGTGCTGTTAACTGATCATTTGACATTTGATGGACTTTTCCACCATAAAGTTATTTTTTGGTTAGAATCTCTTTTGTGATTCTAGTAACTTCCCATTGCCCCACTCCCAGGCCCTGGAAACCACCATTCCACTCTCTGATTCTGTGAATCTGTCTTAGATGTCTCATCTGAGCGGAATCACACAGTGTGTGCCTTTCTGTGCCTGGCTTATTCAATTCACTACAATGTCCTCCAGGTTCATGCATGTTGCTGCATATGGCAGAATCTCATGATTTTTTTTTTTTGAGAGGGCATCTCTCATATTTATTGATCAAATGGTTGTTAAAAACAATAAAATTCTGTATAGGGGACTCAGTGCTCAATGCACAATCATTAATCCACCCCAGCCTAATTCTCGTCTGTCTCCAATCTTCTGAAGCATAACGAACAAGTTCTTACATGGTGAACAAGTTCTTACATAGTGAATAAGTTCTTACATGGTGAACAGTGCAAGGGCATTCATCACAGAAACTTTCGGTTTTGATCATGCATTATGAACTATAAACAATCAGGTCAAATATGAATATTCATTTGATTTTTATACTTGATTTATATGTGAATCCCACATTTCTCCCTTTATTATTATTATTATTTTTAATAAAATGCTGAAGTGGTAGGTAGATGCAAGATAAAGGTAGAAAACATAGTTTAGTGTTGTAAGAGAGCAATTGTAGATGATCGGGTGTGTGCCTGTAGACTATGTGCTAATCCGAGCTAGACAAGGGCAGCAAAACATCCACGGATGCAGAAGATTTCTCTCAGAACAGTGGGGGTGAGGTTCTAAGCCTCACCTCTGTTGATCCCCAATTTCTCACCTGATGGCCCCCCTGCGACTGTGTCTGTCTTAGGTTGTTCCTCCCTTGGGGAATCTTACCCGTCTCTGGCTAACCAGTCATCTTCTGGGGCCATACAGGGAATTTTCATGATTTTTTAAGGCTGAATAGTATCTCATCGCGTGTAATACCATGATCAGTTAGCATTTGGATTTTGTGGGTATTTTGTTTTTCTCTTTTTTCTTTTTGCATGTTAGTTTGGGCAGATTCTTTTAGGTGATCTTCAAGTTCATTGGTTCCTCAACTATATCAAGCTTACTTATTTGCTCATTAAAGGCTTCCTTTTTTTTGTGCTTAGTATTTTTTCTAGCATTTCATTCTAATTCTTTCTTAAAAATTCCATCTCTCTGTTATATTACCCATCTGTTCTAACATGTTGTCTACTAAGGCTTTTAACATTTAATCATATGTGGAGAAAGTGAAGGTCTCTGTGGCCAGGACTCTCAGCTGGCCAGGTCAGCTAGCTCACTGCACACCTGTGGGCAATACGTTGTTATTGACTCTATATAAAGAGCCCCACCCAGTGCTCTGGGCACAACACGGTGGCACGGCTGCAAGACTGCCAGAGAGCAGAGCAGAGACTGGAGTAGTGAGGCCCAGAGGACGGCTGTGCGGGGCAGCTGTGCAGAGAGGCCCAGAGGACGGCTGTGCAGACAGAGAGGCCCAAAGGCAGAGACCGGCTTGCTGCCTGCAGACTCGCTCTGAGTGAATGGGATTCTAGTAACTGACCTGCCACCTGGAAATAAACTTAGGTATAACCCTTTCACCCCAAGAACGTTTTGCTGTCATTTTCTTTGGTCACACTGAATCCATATCGAACTTGCCTGGGGCTGAAACCCATTGGCAAGACAGTGATATATAGTAATAGACATACACTTTAATAAGAGCAGAATGCATGTGTGTTACCCAAATGGCTAAGTTTAGGGAGTGCCATGCTCTTCCCTGTGGGTCCCTGATGGCTTGAATGTATTAGTGTATCTGTACAGTTTGTTTTTCTCCAAGAATAAATTTCTATCTGATTTGAGGCAGCCATATGCATGATCTTGGTCTTCTGGCCAACCCTCTTTTCTATTACTTGAGCATGTTACTGCCTCTGTGAAATGCCTGGATACATTGCGTTCATTGATTCATAATTGAGCTGAGAACAACCTTGAAAGAATGAAGGACCATATGCAAATCTGCCGTCCTTACTGCCGGGGAACAGCTGCTCCCTCCCTGATGCAAACCACCCATATGGTGTCTTTCCCATCACATATGGACTAGCATTGATTTTGATTTTTTTTGTTAATTGTTTTGTAAATATAATTGCCAACCGTCTCTATTCATTTTGGTGTCATACCTGAATCTAGAACTATGTTTCCTTCAACCTTATTTTGGTCACAAGGAAAATGAAACCCATGCCCCCTTCTGTGCATGCTGAGTTTTCTCTCCAAGTGGGACATCCATTGTCATCTTCTGGTACTGTGGTCTTGCTGTTCCTGGACAGGAGGAATCAAAGCCAGAAGCTGCCCTCCAAGAGTTAATGATAGCCAGGTTGTGGTCACCATAATGTCTGCCCAGCTGCCTCCCGGGAGGAAAACAATGCAATCAGTCGAAAACATTATGTGCCTTTTCTTTTCTGAAACTATTCCCTAGGCATTTCATTAAAGGTTAAAGAGAACTTGAGTAAATGTTAACTAAGTTACTACAAAGATGACATGAGAAAATAAATATACATGAGTTCCTCTGATTGTGTAGTAAATTAGGCTAAGGAATAAAATAAACCCTAAGGCAGTGTGAACGTGTCTTAGCCAGGACCCCCCATCTCCATTTTACATACACAACCTATGTTATTTAACACAAATAGTAATATACGTAAAGTACAAAATAACCTATAAGTCAATAACAAAAATATATCCAGAGGGCAAAACAGATCATATACCATTTAGATAAATTAATTTATTTTTTATTATTTTATATCTTGTGCTGATAGGATATTTTTCTAGGACACCATAGGAGAGAAAACAAATTTTTACTGTAGACACACAAAATGTCACTTTTTCTTTTGTTACCGTAGGCTGGATCTTACTGGAGGCAAAATTCAATAATTTCATATGAAATAGGAACAGCTTGCTGACAGAATCAACCCCAACTGGATACTACATGAAATACCATTGAATTATTAAGATATTAAAATCTATTTTGTTTTTAAAGGAAATACATCTCTTTGAGGTTGCTAGACATAAAAGGCCAATATATAAGATGAAAGGTTTTCTAGGATTTCTGTACATATAAAATGTAAAAGTTAAATGAATCCACGTACATTTTTAAATGTAATTATTTTTATAAGAATATAAAAGCATTTAACAGAAAATAAGTTGAGAAGCTACATTAAGCCAAATCTATCAGACTCCAATTCCCATGATCTTCTCACTGTATTAGTGATGGCAATTATACATAATGCACGCTCCCCACCCCCCCGCCCAGCTCCCCCTCCCACAGCACACATTGCTGATCAGCTGTGGCTGTTTGCTGCCGAGCCCTGATGTAGTCTCCAAAGACCTCTCAACATGGAAATTCAGAAAGTCAATGATAAGCAGGCATGGAAACTGAGACCTCTTTGCAATGCCTCCCCTGTTCGTGCAGCCTATGTATACGTACGTCTTCATCTAGTATTCTCTAACTGGGATAATGTTTTTGGAAGATTGCTCCAGTGTTATCTCCGGCTGGATAATCCATTTTGTTCTTTTTCCTTCTTCTGTCTTTTCACTTTCAAGGCAAATCCGTGAAATTTACTTTCCCAGGGTCATTTGAGGCGGGTGAACTTCTAGAACAAAAAAGCCCATAGAACTGGAAAAAAACAGGATGCTATGGCATACGGAAAGTTCCAGGCAGGGGGACCTGCAGTAGAGGGAGAGCTGTTCCTTACAGAGAAAAGGGGAAGTGTGCCGGGGTGCTCACCAGGGTGGGGATGCTATGAAAAATGAAGTGGAGGGGAATCCATGAACATCTGGACTGGAGTCTGATTTCGGGTTGTCAACATGTCATGTGCAGGCACGAAGACTGACTGATAAAAGCACTACATAGATGGGCTTCAGGATGGGCCACAGCACACACACTCCCTCCCACAATCTACAGGTGGCATCCAGGAGGCCTATGAGTCTTGGAGAGGAGACACAAAGGTGTAGGAGGCTGTGGACCCCAATGTCGGGGTTCTGGACAGAGGAACCTCATAGTCCCGTTTTTTCATACCTTAGGTAAACAGCAGCAAACAGAATTCATGGTGGAAGGCCTGCAGTGCATGGTGAGGTGACTGTTCTCTGCGTATTCTGGTTTCCAACCCCAAACAGTCTCATGCCCCCAGCTGTAGGAGAGCAGAGACATCGAGGAGAACAGAAGCTCTGGAATCTTCCTCTTTATCCCCATGTCCTTGACGAGGATACTCTGTCCTCTACACCCAGATGCCCTTTTAGGAAGTCGGATGGAAGGCAAAGATGTTTACAGGAGAGACCCTGTGAGGTGATGCGGGTGCTAATAAACTGCATGGTGGGGGACCTGTCACAGTGGGTAAGTATCTCAGATCACTACGTCACGTGCACTTTCAATATCTCACTATTGCATTTTATATTCCAATAAAGCTGGAAAAAAAAGAAAACTATGGGAGGGAATATGAATTTTGAACTCTTTGGACTAACTCAATATTCACCTGTAATGAGACTGTGCCAACTCAGGGGGAGTTGATACATTTGTCTGGCACATTTGGAGGTTTTCTTCTGCCAGCAGAGGAAATAGGACCTCTAGAGAACTAGCCGCTCTTTATATTATATTATAAATATAATATACTTTTATTTGAAGTATACATAATTATGTGGGATTCTGATGTAAACTTTCATGTTTCCTCATAAGAGGACAGGCAGTAAGAAAAGACGTTTATTAGTTTATATTTCTCTTCCTACGTGTTTAGTTCTGTGGAGCAGTTTGTACGTGTGCCGGTCTTGTCCCGCGTCACCTTTGCTGACTATTGCTTTCCTCTCAGATTCTGCTGGTGAACTTGCACAAAGTTCGCTTGAAGAGTCAGCCGTAGAGGTTTGTGTCCTCTAATTTCATCCGGTGGTGGCATGCTTTGATGCCTGCGTGGCAATGGTTTTGCTCGCTGGCTTCTTAAAGCTGTATCTCTTCTGGTTGACCTGAGTTTTCATCTGTCCCCTCTGATTTGTGCGATTCATTAGAATTCTGTATCCTGCAGGGATGGAGGGAAGGAGCTATAAATTACTTTTGTTGAGAGCGGTAGCTTCAAAATGACAAGTACGTCGCCCCTGGGTGTCATTGAAGACAGGCAGAATTTGACTGACATGAGTCAAAAAAAGTAAATCATCAGGCGGGATGAAGGACCAGGCTTGGTGTACATAGTCGGAAATGACTGCCCAAACCATACACAAACTGATGCAGTGGGGAAATGTGTCTGTACTCTGAGCCCCAAGCGGTGCCATTTGCCCTGTGTGCCCCGGTGCTCCGAGAGCAGCCACCTCAACATCTGAGTTGAAAATTGTTTCCATGTTGGGCAGAACTGTAATGGGATGCTACCAGCTACCAGTCCTCTAGCATGTATTATTATCACTATTTAGGGCCAGTTTCCCACAGGACACACACACACATTCATGGAAAATAAAAGCACATAGATACCTGCTCCTAAATTGTAACTGAAGAGTTGATATTTTGAACGTTGAATAATTCCATGAAAAATTAAAGGTGAATAGAAAGTGATCCTTTGGGCTGTCTTTGGTGTTTGGCAAATTTTTGTCCATTTGCTTTTTTCTGCTTTCTGATGACACTTTTGAATGTTTTTCAGGCTAATTTTAACAAATGCATACTAGGTTGAATGCATTAAATATGCCTGTCAATCATATCCCTGGGGAGGTTGTTAGAATTAGTATTGAAATAAAATCAACAGAAACATAATGAATTTATGAGGCACTAGCCTATGAATACTATGAGGGCACATACTTATTTTTAATACGCAAAGTGAAAATATTAAGCATAATTGAACAAGAGTGTCCAATTATAATTTAGTAAGAGCTTTAATTTTATATCCAGGGGGACGATGTAAAAAAACCGTTATAAAAAGGAAAACTCAAAACTTCCACTTTTCTCCTCTTTTCTATATTCACATCGCACATGTCCATATCTTTCATAGATAGAATGAGGGTTGCTGACCTTCTGTTTTGTTTTCATTAAGGATGTAGTCTCATTTTTCACTTCAATGATTTCAACCTAACCAAACACTTGAAATAAATCTGACACATCGCCGCTGCCCCAGGCTGGGACCGTGCGCGGTGCGCCAGCGCCCTCTATTGGACGCCCAGGGTAAGGAACGTGGTCTCCACGCGGTGCTTTAATGCCATTAAATCCTGCTGCTCTGCTTAATGACAAGGTGTTCTTCTGCACTTAGTTTATAGAATAAACTGAAATGGCATGATACTCATGGAGAAATCCAGAATTTGGGTATAGATGAGAATAAGGAAAAAAGTAAAATCATGGATGCACAGGACCCCACAGTGCTGGGGAGCAGAGGGGCTCTGCTTGCGGGCAGCTTCGCCCACCTCTGCCCTGCCGCACTATGCAGCTCACCCTGCCCATCCTGGGACATCTGCCTGCGTGCTAGCCCTACTGTACCCTATGGTCGGTGAGATCTTGGGGGTGGGGAGAGTCTCTCAGTGCACAGGGTGAGCCCTGGGGAAGCTGGGACATGGGCCCAGATCTCAGGAGTCCATGTCAGGGGACGGCAGGTCTGGGGCAGCCCATGAACCAGGGAAGGCCCTCCCCCAACCTTGCAAGCCTCTCCACTTACCGCACACAAGAGTGTCAGCTGCTCAGCCACCAGGCGGGGGGGAAACTCCAGGATGCTCGGTACCTCGTCCCTCGGCACACCCCAGGTGCTCGCAGCACAGGGGCTGGTGGACTCCAGGCCCACTTCTGGCTCGTCCAGGCCCCGGGCCATCCCGGCAGATGCCACGGGCCCCAGGCCCGAAGGCTCACGGGACTCCAGTTCAGGGTCTGGCACTGGGGCTGAGACCAGTCCTGCGATGTCGCTGGCACTCTCAGCACAGCGGCTCGTGGGCTCCAGGCACGCCTCTGGCTCTCCCCGGCTCCAGGCCATCCCGGCAGGTGGCACGGGCCCCAGGCCCGAAGGCTCATAGGGCTCCAGCTCAGGGTCTGGTATGGGGGCTGAGACCACTCCTGAGATGTCGCTGGTACTCTCAGCACAGGGGCTGGTGGTCTCCAGCCCCGCCTCTGGCTCTTCCAGGCCTGGTGCCATCCCGGCAGGTGCCATGGTCCCCAGGCCCGATGGCTCACAGGGCTCCAGCTCAGGGTCTGGCACTGGGGCTGAGACCACTCCTGCGATGTTGCTGGTACTCTCAGCACAGGTGTTGGTGGGCTCCAGGCATGCCTCTCGCTCTTCTAGGCCAGGTGCCATCCCGGCAGATGCCACGGCCCCCAGGCCCGATGGTTCACAGGGCTCCAGCTCAGGGTCTGGCACTGGGGCTGAGACCACTCCTGCAATGTTGCTGCTACTCTCAGCACAGGGGCTCGTGGGCTCCAGGCATGCCTCTGGCTCTCCCAGACCCCGGGCCATCCCCGTAGGTGCCACGGGCCCTGGGCTGGAGGCCACTGCTGGGACTTCCTCCGGCTCTCCAGGGGCAGAAACAGGTGACCCCGGCTGTAGCTCCCGCACTGGGGTCTCAGGGAGCTCCTGCATGGGCTGTACACACAGCCGGCTCCGGGGGCACAGGGGGCGCCTGCTCTTTTCCTGCCGACGTGGTTCTGGAGCAAGAGACAGAGACAGGGTCACCCCAGGGATGAATTCCCTGCACCTTATCACGGTCAGAAAAGCCCTCACTGCCTTGAAGGGAACCCCAGCCCGGGAAGCCCACCCTGGCTGCAGCCCCTCACCTTGCAGCTCAGCCCCCGGGGGCCCCAGGGGCTCCTCCTGGGCCAAGTGGTGGTGGACTTGGCCCCCCGGGATGGCTGAAGACTGGTTGCCGGGGACCCGCTTGAGCTTCCGTTCAAGGCGCCTAGCCCGTCCAATCCAGGGGCTGTGACAAGGCCTGGGGGTGGCACAGGGAGAAGCCTGGTCTTTCCAGCCTCACAGCCCTCCCGGCGCCCCCTCGTGTGGGCCTGGCCCCTCTGCCCTCCCCTGCCTGTCCAGGCACCTGTCCCTCCCCCTTCCTGACCCTGCGTGACTGTCCCGGGACCCCATCCTCTCCCATCCTCCCGAGTAGGAAGTCCCCAGTCGTCAGCCCGCCCCTGGGAATCTGAAGTGGAGTGACCTGCTGGGCTCTCTGCTGGGCGCCCCCTGCCCCCAGGCCCAACCTCCTCCTCCCCCCAGCCTGTGCAGGTGAGCAGCGCCCCCTCTGTCCCAGTGAGCGCTCACATTCTCACTTCCTCCTCTGGCCCTCGTCATGCCCCCGTCACATGAGGAGGCGGTGAGGCCATCGCCTGTGACGCTCCCCGGCCGTGACCAGCGGATGACGCCTGAGGGGCCTGCCCGACTCCCCCCGGGACGGGGTCCCAGTGTTGTGTCTGCTTCCTTAAGCAGTGATGCTAAGTGTCCCCGAAGGGCCTGCACAGAGTGGGTGCTGCACACCTATTGTGGCTGAAGGAAGCCCTGCCCGACCCTACCCAGGGAACCCTCTGCGTCCCCCACAGGTCCCTCATGCGGCCGTGGTGAGGCCAGGGGCCTGGCCCAGCCACAGGGAATCGCGAGCCTCCGTTCCAAAGGTTGCTTTCTATGTGCTTTTCCAAACTGAGCTTCAGGCCACTGACGGGTGAGGCCAAAGGCTTTCCATCGGGTACAGAGAAGTAGTAGCCCCGATGTGGCCCAGCTTGGGCGGCAGTCCTTCCTGCAGCACCCAGTGCCAGGGGCGCCCCTCCAAGGCTCCTCCGTGTTCCCCATGGCACTGTAACAGGCTGATCACCAGCCACCCTGCCTGTCAGAGGAGCACGCTGCATCTCAGACACACGCGGGGACACTCAAGACACACAGCGGGCTGTGAGCAGAGGCCCGACCGTGCCGAGGAGGGGGTGGGTGCTCACCCGGGGAGCCGCGGGCCCGTGGCTGGCTGGTCAGCGTCCTTGGGAGGGCGTGTGCACCCCGGAACGCTCAGGCTGGTATTTCTTGCTGGCTCCGCTAGTGAGGTGCACTTTCTCCCCTTCCTCATCCCGCCTGTCCCGGGAGCCCTGCGCTTGGGGACCTCAGTCCCGTGAACAGATGACTCATGTTCAGGCTGTGGGGGTCAGGGGGCATATCATCACTGGGAAACCCAGGACCCACCAGGAAGAGGGAGGTTTGCAACCCACCCGGGAGCCCCCACGCCCCTGGGATGTGAAGGGAGAGAGGGAAGGGTGCCCCCGGGAACGAGGGTCCAGGCCCTCTGGAGTGGGCCTGTCGGTCCCTCTCATGGGGAAGCCCTGGAAGAGCCCCAGCAGGTTGCCCGGTTTGGAACGGGGTCCTGGGTGTAGACAGCCTGCCCCGGGTACAGGGAGGTGGATTAGGTGAATGCACCCACCAGTTCCTCCACACTCCCCAGGGTGAGGCCCTGCAAAGCCGGCGCCAGGTACCTGGGGATGGGGCACCCAGGGCTGCCTGGACCTTCCCGCAGGGGCAGTGTGGGCCCCAAACCCTGCCCCCGCGATGAGGCACATAGGGCCCTCTGCCTAGACAGCTGGTCCCTGAGGGAAGGAGAGGACACCCCCGGGCTCAGGTTTATCATGTGGGTGGAAGTACCTGGTCCCAGCCCTCACGTCTGTGTCCTCACTACTGGCACCAGAGCTGTGACAGTGACTTCCCCCCAGGGGGCCGCCACCTCACAACGTGCTGCCACCCACGAACAGCTCCCCTTGTCCCCAGCCTTCAGTCTCCCCTCACCCATGGCACACACACACACACACACACACACACACACACACTAGGGGCCGAGGGGAAGCTCAGCCCGGGATGGGTCACACTTGGGGCCTGGCCCTGTAGTGGCTGCTCTGGGCTGCCGTGTGTTACCTCGGGGCTCCTCGGGAGACATGGACAGAGGCATTGGAGGAGGCCTCTGAGCCAGCGCCGACAGCGAGTGGGGCTGACTCTGACTCTCACGCCGTCAAAAGGCTCTGAACAATAAGACCACATGTTGCTCTGTCGAGCGTCGCAGGTCAAGTGAGCAGGACTGGGTTCTGCGACCAGGAGCTGGGTTCTATCGAGGTCACAATTCATTTTCTACTGGGCGTATCATAGTGACATCACTTATTCAAGGGTTCATTTCCTGGGTCCCTCCCTGCATTCACATACACCCGCATGCCCTCTGGGCTGCTGACTGCCCACCCACTGGCCCTTGCCATGCGGGACTACCCGGATCTCTACCAGAGCCCTCCCCACGCTCTTTGGCAATGTCGCCAGGGTCCCAGCCCTTGTGTCCTCTAACCACAAGCCCTGTAAACGTAACAACGTGGATGTTTGTTTCATTGTCTTGGACCAGGCTGTTTTTTGCATGTCTGTAGGGGTAGAAATTGTAGAAAAATCATACTAATAAATATAACTATCATCCATTGGAATGTAAGTGAATTCCAATTGATTTCTACCCTGGAGAAAAGACAGCCCCAAAGATCTTATTGCTCTACAAAATATGTACTCATTTTGCGTCTCTTAGCACCTTTCTTCTAGCCTTCCCGACTCTGCATGTGTCTGTATATAAACCCTCACACGTTTATAGGTGTATTGAGTTCTCCTTCAACCGCACCAAACACTGTACCGGCTCCTTTGTTAACAGATAAGTTAAATGAAATCTTGCGTACATATTCAATTTTATTTGTGCCAGAGCCATGATTTTACCTTTGGAAATGTGTACTTAAGAAAGGGTTTAAAATTTTAAATAGAATGGTCAGGGACAATCTCACTAGTAAGGTGGTATTTGGGCACCAATTGAAGGAGATTTGAAGGAATAACTGCTCCTCCTGGGACGCAGAGGCAAGACTTCCCTACTGAGCAGAAATTCCATGGTGTTCTTTCTAATAGAGTTTTGTCCGTGATTTCATATTAGGATTATCTCGAAATGTAGTTATAGAAAATATTCGGAATTAGGACACATTAACCTGGTCCCTAAATCACTGAGACCTGGACAGTCAGTTGAGGGAATTCACTCCATTACAATTTAAATGCGTTGAAATTGTTGTCAGAGGAATGCATGTAACTGGAAAACATGAAAGAGGAGTCGTATTCTATAAACAAAGTTTTATAGAATATTGATTATATGTAATGATTGAGCCGTTCACGTCTTGCTTCGCATTTTGCCACAGAGACGAATAAGACTCAAATGTCATAAAGGTGATTTATGCATGCAAAGCAGCTAACTTTCATTTCCTATTACTGGGGTGATATTCTCTTTAGGAATGTTAGGCCACACATGAGAAGCAAATAAAACTTCACCAGCAAATAAGTTATGTCACATAATTTTGAAAGCTGCCAGGGGCCGGTTCCCTGTCCTGTTGTTATTCTGTCCATGGACTATAATGTGAGAGATGCCAGTCCGACCATCTAAACCACTGGGCGTGAGGACGGACACACAGGCTCCTTTGGAACCCGTGTCTGCATCTCCCAGCCTTTCCGTGACGTGCACGTCTGTCTTAAGCAGTGTGAGTAAATGAATAGCGCTGGGAGAAGCATGTCTGTCCATGGTCACCAGCAGCGTCAGAGTACCCTCCGTCATTTTCCTACTCAGCACTTCCTGTCGGCCTTCAGCAAAAATGCATCCTGTCCTCCTCCCAGGAAAGAGCACAGCAAGGCATGCCTAGGACAGCAAGGTGGGCAAAGAATGCTTTGACACAGTGCTTACAATGCTACCTTTACAGTACAGTGAGAACTTGCACCCTGAGACCATGGGAACCAAGCAGATGTGGAGCCTGTCTCCAGGCAGGGTTAGGGTCTCGTATTCAAATCCGCAGAACATTGACTGTAGGAAGACTGATTAAATTGTTGGAATCTCAGGGTAGAAAGTCGACCTTCCAGAATTCAGATTTAATAGTACCATTGAAGAGGACATTGGAATACGCTCCTATTTTGTCCTGAGGAATCTGTGAATGCTTTCAGGCCTACAAAACTTTCCCTTGAGCAAAGAATGAGTTGGGGTACAGACTGTTTTAAGAATATATCTAGGCCCTACCACCTTCTTACATATTAATGGCATAAAATAATAAGTGTCTGTCTACATCTACATTTCGCCAAAAATGAGCAGCTGATGTGATTTATTAAGGACTCCTTTTGTGTTTATGGGGCTGAGTAGGTCTGACGTAACCTATCTATGGGGCGACCTGCCGAAGCCCTCACCGTGAAACCGACGTCAGATCTGCTTTCCCCCAGATGCACAAAAGCTGCTGCTTCCCTCATTCCTGTGAAGTAGCAGAAGTTTTATGCATGAAAGGTTGGTGTTGGGTAAATTCTACGAAGCAACACAAACTCAAAAAGTAAAGTCAAAAAGTCAATGTCATTAAGACCCTTTTCTGCGATTATTTTCTCTCCGGGTACACCTCCTCTGGGGTACAGCCAGACAACGTGCTCATTCCTTCCAGTCAAGACACAGGCCTGCTGCTGCCGGGACTCCAGGACAGGAGGAGGAAGGACAGGAAAATGGTGAGTCTCCTGTGCGTCCCACTGTGAGAACCTTCAATACAAAACCCCTGTTGCACTGTTCATCTTCTGTTCCTCGCAGCTGCTGAAGAATTGTCCTCTTCGGTTATTATGAATCCTGGAGTGTTTCCAAACACTCCCTAAACCAAGGAAAATGTCTCAACGCCCTACCCTATTTGTAAAGATTTATGAACAGTAAACAAATAATAAGGATTTAAGTAGTAAGCATGGTCTCTCTGCTGAGTATGCGTGTATATTACTTCTCCGGGCATATTTTACATGCTGTTTGTTGGAATCAGCATGTTGGAAAGTCTCGGGTGTGTTTGTCTGAAGCATTCGTTACTGGCGTCCTGAAACCTTCGTGTGCTGTGCTTACGCGCCCACGTAGAATGGACTGGAGAAGAAATGCTTCAGCAGGAAGCACAAAAAAGAGACGAGTGATCAACTAAAATAGGTCCTAAAAGTGCGCGCAGGAACGTAGGCAGTAGGACAAGGCATGGACAGTGAGAGGCAGAATAATGGGCAGCGTGTCACGGATGATGACAGGGACGCAGCCGCTCCTGATCATGCCTGTCCGCCCCTTCCGGTCCCCATGACCATTCTGCGAGGCAGTAATTCAAGCAACATTTTTATTTCTATTTTGTGAATGGAGAAACCAAGACATGAAGAAATAAAATAATTTTTTTTTATTATAACAAGAAAAAAAAGCGCCCACTGATCCCACAGCTAGTATGTTGGGAAAGGAAAAGATTCAAACTCAGGCCTCTGCCCCCAGCCTCCACAACATCTCACTGCTGTGCCGGCTCGCGCAAATGATTTTCCTGGATTGTGCTTTAACATCCCTGCAATCTGCATGATGCCTTAGCAAGATGCCAGGAAGTCCCAGCACAGGGGCCAGCACGACAGTCCAACCAGTGGCCTGCATCACCTTGAATTTCACTAGGCAATTATCCCTCCTGGTGTTCTCCACCCTTTTTTACTTTTTAATCTCTTTCCTGGTTATTCATGCATCATATTATAGAAAAGCAACTCTATACTTGAAGGCTCACGGCCCTTCGTGCTTTTAAAAACACTCTTAAAATGGATCAAGGACCTCAAAGACCTCTTGCTTATGCAGATTATAACTTTTTTGTATTTACTGTTTTAGAAATTAAATCTGAGAGATTTTTAAAGGATGGCTTTATTAATTCATTTAAAAAATAAGAATCATCCCATAGATGTTCACGTCAGTAAACATACGTACTTCTGAGAAAAATAACTACATTTTCCAAAACAAAAGCATAGTGAGGAAACTGATGTTATGTTGTGTTTCTGGCAAATCTTTCACTGTCTGGCGTAATAGAAGACAGACAAATCATACACCCGCTTCTGGACCAGTGACACCCTGATGGCCCGGGCACCGTTGATGACCGGTGGTAAGAACACAGCGTGGTTTGGTGCTCTGTGTTGATATGTGCGAAGGTACCAAGAATTTTGCCCAATTTGAAGTTTGCCATGTCAGTGTAAAGGCCAAGAGAGCGGATATTCAAACCCCACTGTTGACAAGAGAAAAAAACTAAACGTCACACTGACCACATGAAACTTTTGTTTCTACCCCAAAACTGTTTTTACATCTACACAACAGTCATCAGTACTTACTAGGCAACCGTTTTCATCATCTCATGTTAATCCAATGAGGAAAGTTACTGGGGAAAGAATGGAAACCTTGATCTGAAGCCAAGAGGGATAGTAACACATGCTCCGTCTCCTCAGGTGGCAGCTGTTTCTTGTAACCAGGACACAGGTTTTGTTTTCTGACATAATTGTGAAGGCTGTGTGTTCGCTACAAATGCCTTTGATAAAATTAGAATTGCATTTTTACTTGGCTCGTGGAACTTCACCAAAACAGAGATCAAACGCTGTTTACAGAAACTTTTTGAGGTACGCTGAAGACAAGGCCGGAGTGAGCGACTTTAGGACGCTCCGTCTTCTCCTGGATACATCCCGGGTGACCATGTGGCGGGCAGTGACGTCTAGTGAAGGACACCCGTGAGGATTACATGGCCTCTGGTGCAGAATGGATCATGGTGGTGTCCGTCAGCCTCTCTGCTGATCGGAATAAGCTCTTTGCTTGTGTACAAAACAAGTCTTTGTTACGGCATCATCGTGAACAAGGTGCTTTTTACGTGGTGTGCATACCAATGACAGAAAAATCTTGAAATAAGCAAGTGGGGTCCAAAAACTAAGATCTCCGTTTGTCATTCCTAAAGGACATCTTTAAACACAGAACAAATAATGATTTGATGCAGAAAGGCCAAACCAGCAGCACCCAATGGGAAGCATAGACGAAGTCCTCCATAGTTGTTCTAGCAACTTCTTCAGGCCATCGGGGTGATCATGCAGTATTTTATTATCAAACCTTATTATTTAGTCGTTATCATTTTTTAACACAATATAAAACATATCAAATTATCAACCTGCTGTGTGACTCCAGAGTGAGTTATAGTATGCTGCACAAGAGAAAACTTAATGGTTCATTCATGGTTGATTGATTGATTAATAATAAATTCAGTGGAGAATATAACTTTTAAGAGCCCATTTCTCTATCATGTTATTTTTCAGACTACAGTACACTAACTAACAGTTTTATTGGGTTTTAAGATGACAGTGACATTCCTTTATGCTCTTCTAAGCAGAAAAAAACACCCATTAAAGTTGTTTTTAAGGGCTGGATGTGTGCCTCAAACTTATGAATTCATCCTATATGAAGCAGAAAAGCAGACTGCATCTTGGGCTGACAATGAATGAATGATTGGAGATACACAAACCCCGTCATTAAGTGTTCCATTCTCACCAAACTTAGACTGAAACAAAAATGACCTCATCTGCTATTTTGTGAGATGATATTGGCATAGAGTCCCCATCTGCAAGGAAGCCATGATTTCTACATCAGAGTTTAAAAGAAGACAGAAACACATTCTCAGACAGCAAGGAGAGAATAAGTACTTCTGGGAGTCACTCCTCAAAGGCCAAGGAGAAACTGGAAATGATTTTAGATGTGGATGAAAGGTGGCGTGGGGCTCTTCTCTGCCGCTGCTGTGTGTTAGTTACAGAGCAATCTGATGAATCAGAACACCGTCAGGGAGAGGCTATAAACATGCCCCAAGCATATTTTCTCTTTTCAAGTGATTCCTAATTTCTATTGGCTAACTTTTAGAAAATCCAATGGAGGTATTTTCAGCCTGTAAATACATTAGCGGTGGTTTTTTTTCCTGTTCCTATTTTCTTTATGTACCTTAACACAGAAGTAATACATCCATGAACTGTTTCAGTAACAATACAAAACAGTAACAGTAACAATAAACTTTCAAAGGTGATCGCTTCTGAAGAAGTGCATTATTCAATATATGTGTGTTTATATTTCTACTTTTTGTTCTGAGAAAATAGAGCATCTGTCAGTCTCCTGGGAAATAATGCAAACCTCAGCCTAATATACGTGTGAAGTAGTGAATACAGCCTTTGACACAAATAATAGAAAACTAATCCCGAGCATGGTTAACTATCATTTTATGCCGCGAAATTTTGTTTGTGACACTGAAAACTTTTTTTAAAGTCACTGATTCAAGAAGTGGTTTTAGAGAAAGTGGAGAAAGGCCCCAGTACCAGGCCTTATACAGGAAAATATTAAAATATTTGTGAACAGAGCGGGGAGGAAAGGCGGGAATATAATCGAGAAACTCAGCAGGAAAGCAAAGGTTACGTGTCTTGGGTCGTAACACTGTGTTTTCCTTAAAGAGGAACAAAGGGAAACAATGCATGGGGAGATGTACATCTGTTGTAAGGAGAACTGTTTCTAACAAAATGAATGTCTGAATATGCAAGACACCCTGCAGTTGTCCTCCCCGTCCACCCTCTGTGCTCCACCCTGCCCTGCGCCCTGGGAGGATGAACTGCACGGATTGCACAAGCCCCTCTGACTTCCACGGAGATGTGGCCCACGGACAGGATCGGTGGGAGATGTGCCTGTGGACGGAAAGTGAGATTTGAGGAGTTATCTCTGGGTCACTCTTGCAGGCTGCAGGTTGGCCATGATTATGTCACCCTACCAAAGGCCAGGGCACCTGTTTGGCACCCCACTCCCAGAACCACAGCTACACTGAGGGGACTAAGGACATTTCTTTCCAGGTCCCCGTGCTCATTCCCCATCCGTATGCCAAGAGCTTCCTGCTGTTGCCAGTCCTCAGGTGTGCCATCTCTTGGGGGTGTGTGTTCTAGCTCAGGACATGCCTTTGTGAATAGTTCCTTTATTAAACTATCCTTAATTTCCCCAGCTGAGAGCGCCATCTTTCCTGCTGATAAATATACGGAGCAAATAAATTTCCAGTGTCAACTTTTTCTATCCCTTCCTTTGGCGATTAAAGAAATTCAAATTTTTTTAAAGCAATTTAAATGTTTCCGCAGAGCCAGAGGTAACAGACAACTTCACTGGCTTAGGTATAGCTGGTAATTGATGATAATTTAATGTTTAATTTAAAGTTTAAGATCTAATGTTCTCCTTACAGGAGTAGAGGACTGTTCTCACAATTGAGTAACTGATCATGTCAAGAAAAGCAGATTCAGGCAATGGTTGTGGAATGTCAACTGGGAAATTATGAGATTTGCTTGTGGTGTGCTTTCGATTGGCTGTTATCCCTGAATTTAAATATTTCAATTAATCTTACCCCCATTTTTCCTAAGTTTTAAACGTGTTATTTACCTATCACACCAGCTTTGAAGCAGTGGCACTGTTATTTACTGATGCTACGCTATTCAGTCGTTTATCAATGTATTGATGTTCACATTGGCATAAAAGAATGAGTTCTAGTTTTAACAACTGCCACATCAATGCCACAAACAGAATCAGTAGAGGCAAGCTCTCATGATGACAGGAATACTCATTTTCCAACCATTTTTAAAATTAAAATAGTTACTATTTCACACCCATCCCCTCTGTGCACTAGGTTTCCTTTCCACACCAAAACATAATCACTGAATCAACAAAGCTCAAAACAGATGATGCGGGCATACTGGGCAGTGGCGGTGGCCTCCTCAGTCCCCCGTCATAGCTGGCTGTGTCCCTCAAGCACTGATGAAGAGGAAATCCTCATGTCCCGCTCAGGGTCTGAAACTCTAAGGGCCAGAAACCCTTCTGAAATGGGAAGAACAGGCTGCCCCACGCCTTTTCCAGTGACCCCTTTCGCAGGTCTTCTTGGCCGATATGCACAGCCAAGTAACACACTGCTGATACCGTGACACTTTATCTGTTTGGTCACGGTGCAAAGATAATAAATCTCCACTAAGTTCAATACAAAATGGAAAAGCTGACCCATCAAGCTTGCCAATTCAGTATGTATGTTTATGAACATGTTTCAGTAGCTCACATTTAAACAGGTATCATATTATAAACATATATACCTCACAAAGTGATATCAATATAGCAATTTTACAGATCATGAAATGGAAACTCAGAGATAATGTGATTTTTCTCAAAGTTAAATAACAAGCACACTATAGATTTGAGCTTGACCTCAGGCCACCTGTGCCCATTATCCGCTGTATCCAGTATCCCTCAAGAATGTGAGGAAGGTAGAAAGGCCATGAAATCACCAAGTGTCCAAATTGGGAGAAAGGGAGAAAAGGGGATGCTGGGCTCATTGACAGCAAACACTGCCAAGTTCAGAGTTTTTCCTGGGATCAGCTCTGCCTCGGTGAATGATGATTCTCTTCCTAGACCAGCCTGCATAATTTTACTGAGCCCCTTAATTTAGTAAGGGAAAAAGGGAAATATTGTCATACTACTAGGAATTAAGCCAGGCAGCATCTTCACAGACAGAATCACCTTGAATGTGTGTTGGAACATGTGTGGGCGCCTAATTCCATCCTCCAGTCATTGATTCATTCAGCTGACATTTCCTAGGCGCCCAGGATGTGACACACGCATCCCAAGGATTTAAGAAACAAAGCAAAACCTTTGTTTTCACTGACACGCTGACAGCTGGTGGGGAGACTGAGGTCATGTTAAAGGAAATGTGAGCACGGACACAGGCACCACAGCCCCCTGGTGCTGCGTCCGGCCACTTGCTTCAGGACCTCACAGGCTCTCGGGGACCCCAGCCTGGGGCGTCTCCTGCCCATCCACCCCACCGCCTGGGCCTCCCCTTTCCAACCCGGTCCGCCCGCCCTGTGAGGCTGCGCTTCCCACGGTTCCCACTAACTGCCTCTGTCCGTGTTGAGGAGCCAGGGACCGGGGAGGCAATGTGATTCTCCTTCCTCCGACTGTGTGGCAGGCACAGGGCCAGCTTCAGGGACGTGTGACCGGGACAGTCGCACAGGGCTCGGCTTTCCAAAGCAACCCAGCACTTAGGTTTTAACGCTCTGTGGTCACGATTTCTAATAATCTTACCTTTGAATGCGTGGTAGGGGGAGTGTATTTACTGAGGCGTATGCAGGGCAGTGAGCGAATCTCAGCAGGACGGGTTTGCCAGGCGCAGGCACTCACGAAGCCATCACGCCGATCTAGAGAGCCAACATCCTAATATTTTCCCTCTCGCATGTGTCACCCGTTCCCTCTCGGTGGACCCGTGTTTCTCCGTGACGTCTCATGGGGTGGAGGAGCGTGTGCCCGGGCTTGGGGCCTGAGCCCGCACGTGGCCCCCTCCCGCCCGCGCCCTGCCTCCGCAGGAGGATACTGGGCAGCGCCCCCCCTTCCGGGACCTGATGCGCGGGGTCCGCCCCGCCTGGCACCCTCGCTGACCTCTCCGCCTCCCACCCAGGGAAGCAGCAGAGCCATGGCGGAGGGGGGCCTGCGTCCCTGCTGTGCCCTTGGCTCCCTCCGGGGCCTGTGGGAGGCAGGGTCTCCCATGCAGGCCGTGCGGTGCATCAGGAGGCACTTGGGGACGGTCAGCCTGTCCCCGGGCTGGCGGCCTGACGGGGGCGGATCTCTCCCACCCCTGCTGCAGACCCCGAGTGTGTATCCACGTGGAGGGAGCAAGCCCTCGGGGGCTCACCTGGCCTGCGGTGGGTGTGACGGCGGCCCGGAGGAGGGGAGATGGGCGTCCATGCCCCCACTGGGGCCCTGCGTCTTCATGGGCACCAATCCCCCTACATCATGGGGCTGACTGAATGAATGACACACAGACACCCTGGTGTCCTAGGGAGCAGCAGAAGGACTTACTCTCTTCTCCCTCTAACAGGACAGCGTGATGGGAGCGGAGGGCCTCAGCGCGCTGGAAGAACGAACCATCAGGGCCACCACCGCTTGGGGTGCGGCCCTGCTCGGCCCAAGGAACCCCCGGGCGTGGAGGAGGGGAGGCCGAGGAGATGATATGCGTGGGCAGAAGACTCGTCATAGGTGGGCGCGTGGAACCAGGTGAGTCTATCGAGAAGGGCGGGCATCCGAGATCTCAGGACCAGAGAGAAAACAACGGCAGAGGGAGGAGTGGGGGAGTAAATCCTGACGTGCTGGTTGGAACTGTCAATCCTGGCTTCTCGTATATATGAATGAATGGGTGTAGGAAGAGATGTGGCTCCGGGGACAGTAGTACAGCCCCGAGAATATGGTTAATGATTCTGTGACATCTTCCTGTGTTTATATAGTGACAGCACTGGGGGTGTGAGGACTTAGCAATATGGGGCACTGCTGAACCGCGGTGCTGTGTATGTGAAACCAGCATGAGATCGTATATCGACACTTTAGTTAAAAGGAGAGAGAGAGATGTGGCTCTAAGGGGGCACGGGCAGGCGCGCACGTGTGCGTTCTCGGTTCCGCCTGCTGAGCAGGTCCAGAAGCCCTGCAGCCCTGCACGAAGCCAGCATCCTGAGCGTGCTCCTCCTAATGCTGCCCCAGGATTTCAGCCGGGACTCCCTGGGACAACGAGCTCTATCCTACTGCTGTGATCAGGGCATGAGAAACCCACTGACCACCTTGTCCGGAAGGACTCAGACCCCTGGATAAATTAATGCAAAGCATTACATGACTTGACACTAAATAACTGTTGGTCATGAGCATAGCACCCACTTCATTCCTGCAGACGTGCACACTCCAGATGACAGTGGGCTCTCACAAATTTGACTTGTACCTCTTTTTTTTTTTGATTCTCAAAAGGAATTACCTCTTAGAAAAAATGTTAGAATGATGATTCTCTTCCTAGACCAGCCTGCATAATTTTACTGAGCCCCTTAATTTAGTAAGGGAAAAAGGGAAATATTGTCATACTACTAGAAATTAAGCCAGGCAGCATCTTCACAGACAGAATCACCTTGAATGTGTGTTGGAACATGTGTGGGCGCCTAATTCCATCCTCCAGTCATTGATTCATTCAGCTGACATTTCCTAGGCACCCAGGATGTGACACACGCATCCCAAGGATTTAAGAAACAAAGCAAAACCTTTGTTTTCACTGACACGCTGACAGCTGGTGGGGAGACTGAGGTCATGTTAAAGGAAATGTGAGCACGGACACAGGCACCACAGCCGCCTGGTGCTGCGTCCGGCCACTTGCTTCAGGACCTCACAGGCTCTCGGGGACCCCAGCCTGGGGCGTCTCCTGCCCATCCGCCCCACCGCCTGGGCCTCCCCTTTCCAACCTGTTCCGCCCGCCCTGTGAGGCTGCGCTTCCCACGGTTCCCACTAACTGCCTCTGTCCGTCTTGAGGAGCCGGGGACCGGGGAGGCAATGTGATTCTCCTTCCTCCGACTGTGTGGCAGGCACAGGGCCAGCTTCAGGGACGTGTGACCGGGACAGTCGCACAGGGCTCGGCTTTCCAAAGCAACCCAGCACTTAGGTTTTAACGCTCTATGGTCACGATTTCTAATAATCTTACCTTTGAATGCGTGGTAGGGGGAGTGTATTTACTGAGGCGTATGCAGGGCAGTGAGCGAATCTCAGCAGGACGGGTTTGCCAGGCGCAGGCACTCACGAAGCCATCACGCCGATCTAGAGAGCCAACATCCTAATATTTTCCCTCTCGCATGTGTCACCCGTTCCCTCTCGGTGGACCCGTGTTTCTCCGTGACGTCTCATGGGGTGGAGGAGCGTGTGCCCGGGCTTGGGGCCTGAGCCCGCACGTGGCCCCCTCCCGCCCGCGCCCTGCCTCCGCAGGAGGATACTGGGCAGCGCCCCCCCTTCCGGGACCTGATGCGCGGGGTCCGCCCCGCTTGGCACCCTCGCTGACCTCTCCGCCTCCCACCCAGGGAAGCAGCAGAGCCATGGCGGAGGGGGGCCTGCGTCCCTGCTGTTGCCCTTGGCTCCCTCCGTGGCCTGTGGAAGGCGGGGTCTCCCGTGCAGGCCGTGCGGTGCCTCAGGAGGCACTTGGGGACGGTCAGCCTGTCCCCGGGCTGGCTGCCTGACGGGGACGGATCTCTCCCACCCCTGCTGCAGACCCCCAGTGTGTATCCACGTGGAGGGAGCAAGCCCTCGGGGGCTCACCTGGCCTGCGGTGGGTGTGACGGCGGCCCGGAGGAGGGGAGATGGGCGTCCCTGCCCCCACTGGGGCCCTGCGTCTTCATGGGCACCAATCCCCCTACATCATGGGGCTGACTGAATGAATGACACACAGACACCCTGGTGTCCTAGGGAGCAGCAGAAGGACTTACTCTCTTCTCCCTCTAACAGGACAGCGTGATGGGAGCGGAGGGCCTCAGCGCGCTGGAAGAACGAATCATCAGGGCCACCACCGCTTGGGGTGCGGCCCTGCTCGGCCCAAGGAACCCCCAGGCGTGGAGGAGGGGAGGCCGAGGAGATGATGTGCGTGGGCAGAAGACTGGTCATAGGTGGGCGTGGGGAACCAGGTGAGTCTATCGAGAAGGGCGGGCATCCGAGATCTCAGGACCAGAGAGAAAACAACGGCAGAGGGAGGAGTGGGGGAGTAAATCCTGACGTGCTGGTTGGAACTGTCAATCCTGGCTTCTCGTATATATGAATGAATGGGTGTACGAAGAGATGTGGCTCCGGGGACAGTAGTACAGCCCCGAGAATACGGTTAATGATTCTGTGACATCTTCCTGTGTTTATAGATAGTGACCGCACTGGGGGTGTGGGGACTTAGCAATATGGGGCACTGCTGAACCGCGGTGCTGTGTATGTGAAACCAGCATGAGATCGTATATCGACACTTTAATTAAAAGGAGAGAGAGAGATGTGGCTCTAAGGGGGCACGGGCAGGCGCGCACGTGTGCGTTCTCGGTTCCGCCTGCTGAGCAGGTCCAGAAGCCCTGCAGCCCTGCACGAAGCCAGCATCCTGAGCGTGCTCCTCCTAATGCTGCCCTCCAGGATTTCAGCCGGGCCTCCCTGGGACAACGAGCGACCCCAGAGCAAGGAAGGTGTAAGGTGGGACTGGAGCACTGCGTGATACCAAACAAAAAGCAGCAGTCGAAGCATATTTCGAGATGTCTAAGGAGTAAAGAAGTCACCTGAAAAGGCTCTAATTGTGTCAGTCAGGGGCCAGTGGGGCAGCAAAATAATGGTCATAATAAATGATAGCCCATTTAGTAAACTAGGAATCCATGAGAAAACGCCGATATGAGTATATAAATGAACGGGTGAATAAGCGACGGAGGCAAATAGGGAAGAATCTCTCTGCATTACAGCAAAGCGCCAGCCAAGAAATGGTGAAAGACTGACAGGTTAGAGGACCACCTTTGACGAGCACCACAGTAAAAACTGACTCAGAAAAGGACAATTCATGAATGTTTTAAAAAAATAAGTGAAAGTTTGATGAGAAAAAATATTTCTCACCTCAAAATAGCTCCCCACTTTTTAAAAATGTTTATAATTTATTTGAAAACTAAAATAATCACATACTGAAAAAACATTTTAATTTAAATATTGGTGAGAATATTTTATGAAAATTGTTCAGAAGTGTGACATGGCTTAATACATTTACCAACCTTATTACTATGGGATTAATAGAAGCCGGCTGGATTTCCACAGCTGCTTGTGTATTTCCTCTGGTGTGACATGTTGGTTCGTTTGAAGTGTGTAAAGAAAATGTGCCCTCACGTGGATATGCAGTTAAAAAATGAAAGGATATTTTAACTTACCTTTGCAGAAAATGGTGGATATTTTTCCTGGCACTATAACAAAATTTAACAGTTTCTTAAAGGTTCTCTAAAAGGTTTTTTATGGAGTAAAAACTGTCTCAATGAACTTTTCATCCTCTGTTAAATTCCATTTGTTTATCTTGTATTTTTTTAAAATTGTCTTTACATCTGGTATATATGTTATAATGAATGGATGATTCTGGTACATTATTATTAACTAAAGTCCATAGTTTACATTAAGACTTACCCTTTATGTTACACAGTTCTATGGGTTTTGACAAATGTATGTCATGTATCCAGCCTTATAGCGTCATGCAGGATAATTACACTGTCTTAAAAAAAAACCCTGTGCTTCATGCATTCATCTCACCCCCGCCACTGTTCCCCAGGATCCCTGGCAACTACTGAATTTCTTCCTGTCTCAGTCACTGTCTCTTTTCCAGAATGTCACAACTTTTTTCATGTTATGAGAGCCAGTGACCACCACCAAGCGCTCTGCGTGACCGAACTCCCCGTCTACTTCCCAGTAAGTACTAAACTGATAAATTAACTCATAATGAACAATCCTGGTGAGCACCCTCTTAAGTGAATGATAAAATTCAGCATCTCCAGTTATGAAACAGATTGGCATCATGTGCCCCCTGATCATGTGCACTGAGGACACAGCATAGCTTCTGTAATATTCTGTCCAAAATGCATAAGCCAATGTCATATGAGACGCAAAAGGCCAGTCCGAATCGAGATAATTCTGCACAGTAAACTGACCTATATTCTTCAAAACTGTCATGGTCATAAAAGGCAAGACAAAGCCGAGAAATTCCTTCAGTGCTGTGTGAACCGACACTGAATCCTAGACCATGAAGAAATGGATGATGTGAAGATATTGATGGAGTGATTGGAGATACTTGAATAGGGTCTGTGTACTGTATTGCAATAGTGAATCAACATTTATTTGCTGCTTTTGATGGATATATATATAGAATAGTGTCTTTCTTTTAGGAAATGTACCCTTATGTATGTAGCGTATCATGTCAGAAACATACTTTCCTATGGCTCAAAAAGTATTATATTTATATAGAGGATATGGTAAGACAAATGTGGCAAACTGATACCCGTGAAATCTGGGTGCGGGGTCATAAAAGGTCATGCAAGGTCATACAAGGTGACCTGATGTATAATGAACACTTGGGCAAAGTTATGTTTAGAATGCACACAAAAACTATTTGTCCCACCATTAAGAATAATACATAATTTCAAAGATGCTGACATTTCTGCATCCACAGAGGGCATATTTCTGGGTTAGAAGACACTTTTATTTAACAGTAAACAAAGAAAGCACACTTTAATGGGTTTTCTCGGCAAGTCTACTTTCTACATATAACATAAAAAGTCATTTGCATTATAAATAGGGAAATATTTAGCAATTGTTTTGCCTTTAGGAATATGCTTATTTTATATGAATTTCTTCAGTGTCTCTGCACCTCCCTGTGCACACGTCCCTTGCAGTCTTGTGTATTCTGGCCCAGGTGCTCTCGTCAGTGGGCGGGAAGCCTGCCAGGAGAGTGACAAGGGGTGTTGTCACTTCGCTGGTGGCCAACCTCAGACAGGACTGGATTTGGAGTACTAACCCGCCCATAGCCCTGTCTGAACGACTCAGAGTGCTGAGGACACAAGGACACGGTGCTGGGATATTTCATAAAGTTTACCGAAGGTCACCGTCTAGTAGGTTTTGTCACTTACTCAAATTAATGATATTTTGTAGTGCAAACTTTCAAACGTATCTGAGAGGGAGCCATCTGGTCTGAGAAGGGAAGCAGAGGATGTCCCGTGGGCACCCAGCACTAAGGGACGCGGGAAAACCTGGGGTGGCCAGGAGAGAATGTGAAGGCAAAGGGGCAGGTTCTTCAACCTCGAAATGGGCAGCACAGTAGCATGTTTGCTAATGCGACAGGGATGAGCAGCCTGTCCGTCCTTGGGGGGGTGTTTCCTGTCCTCCTGCTGGCCTGATATTGTCAGGGTTCTGCTCCTTCAGGTAGCACAGGATGGGAAATGTGCTGAGGTGCTGTTTGTTTGTTTGGTCTCATTGCTATTGTGCAAGAAGCAGTGAGATAAAAGGGAACAAACACGGGACGTGGATCCGACGCGCCTAAGGCAGGAAGTCCCCCAGCCCAGAGGTCGCTGTCTCCCGGCCACAAGCTGGGAGCGACACTGGCACCGCAGAGAGGCCTGAGGGGCAGTGGTCTCCCCCAGACCTGGCCCATGACGGGAGGTGCCATCACAGAGCAAGGCCCCCGCTCAGCCCTGGGGCAGGGGGCCGACACACCAGAAGGCTCGGGGAGGTCCCCACTCTGGCCTCCCCCCTGTCAGGGCCTTTCAGACCTTTCAGGCCTTTCAGGCCTTTCAGTGCGGCAGGCCTGTCATGTCTGCTGCACTCAGTTTGGCCCTTCAATTCCCAAGCTTCTGATAGCTGCCCCGGCAGTAGTTCAGCACCGCCTCCCAAGGGCCTTTTCAGAGATCATAACCTGGTTTACAAGAGAGCCTGTTAGACCGGCAGCTCTCATTTCTCCAGTGATGCATCCTGACCCCTCGACCCGGCAGCCCTGCAATCGAGTCCCACAGATACTGTTCTGCTAGTGCGGCCGGGCTCCTGTGACTCTTCCCACACCGAGCGCCTTCACACCTTCCTCAGCCCAGGACTGTGTCGCTATGTGGCCCTAGTCATGGGTCTGGGTGCCAGGAGGGGAGCTGGGAGCAGATCCCGGGAGGGCACAAGCTGGCTTACAGGGCGCAGTGCTCTGGGTCAGCCGTCTTTAGGTCAGGGGGGGCCGGGGCAGGAAGGGAGGTGTTCTGCACGCCTGGGGTGGGGAGGGGCAGGAGAAAGTGAACAAAAATTGTACTTTTCTCAGAAGAGTGACAGTACTTAATAGAAATATATTCAAAGAATTTAATATTCACATGAATCAAGCATACGTGGGGAGATGCTGACAGAGTGATCTTTAAGGAGCCATAGACTTCCTTTCAAGAAGTTTTACATCTGAGAATAACAGTAAAATGAAACAACATAAAGTTTCCCAAAGTATCAGTTTTATACCTTAATGAGTGATTCTAAGTCAGACATTTTTTAATCTTTAGGATTAAAAATTACTGACTGTCGTTTTAGTGAAAACTGCAAATTATGAGAACTACTCTGTAAACTTTTTTTAGGTGAATTAAAGATCTGTAAAGTGTGTCGCCCATGCTATCACAATTTTTCCACGTAGGTTCGGGCAAATCAGGTGGATTTCTGTATGTCTGTATGAACTTGGAACTGAATAGCACATGCCCACTCCTAATGCATCTTTCTTTTTGTGGAAGAGCAACATTGACAAGTTTCTCCTCCATGAATGTAGAAGTTCCATGAAAACTTCCAGCAGTGGGGCTGCATGACAGTGTGATTTACAAGAGTCATTTTTATCAAACCTGATTCAGCAACTTTCTGGCAAATTTAGCTGATGTGTATATTATGTAAAACGTATGTGTGTGTGTGTGTCTATTCATGTATGGATTCATATCTTTAGACAGATAGATGATAGACAAAGAGATAGATAGACAGATGCTCGATATCAGCACTGATTTATTTACCATCTCTGTATTACTTTAGTTTTGCAGTGTAAGGTTGTTGTAAAATTTCCTGTTTAATCTTCATGAAAACCATGTGATATGAACCAATGTATTTCTGACTTTCATGTTTGGTTGTTAGGAATATTTCATAAAATACAGTATAACTCATCTGCCTTTTCACCTCAGATGAGTGGTGTTTAGGACTGTTCAGCACATCATTCATGTTTGTACACCTTGGAAATGCAAGCCGGTCAATAAGCATGAGGGTCCCGTAGTGCAGAGAAAAAAACCCTAATCTAAGCCTACGTACAGCTTTAAATATTGAAGGCATAGTGCCATCTGGTGGGAGTGGGCGCCCAGCACTGAGGGTCGCGGGAAAACCTGGGGTGGCCAGGAGAGAATGTGAAGGCAAAGGGGCAGGTTCTTCAACCTCGAAATGGGCAGCACAGTAGCACGTTTGCTAATGCGACAGGGATGAGCAGCCTGTCCGTCCTTGGAGGGGTGTTTCCTGTCCTCCTGCAGGCCTGATATTGTCAGGGTTCTGCTCCTTCAGGCAGCACAGGACGGGGTATCTACTGAGGTGCTGTTTGTTTGTTTGGTCTCATTGCTATTGTGCAAGAAGCAGTGAGATAAAAGGGAACAAAAACGGGACGTGGATCCGACGCGCCTAAGGCAGGAAGTCCCCCAGCCCAGAGGTCGCTGTCTCCCGGCCACAAGCAGGGAGCGACACTGGCACTGCAGAGAGGCCTGAGGGGCAATGATCTCCCCCAGACCTGGCCCACGACGGGAGGTGCCATCACAGAGCAAGGCCCCCGCTCAGCCCTGGGGCAGGGGGCTGACACACCAGAAGGCTCGGGGAGGTCCCCACTCTGGCCTCCCCCGTGTCAGGGCCTTTCAGACCCTTCGCCTGCCGTGTGCAGTGGCAGGCCTATCATGTCTGCTGCACTCAGTTTGGCCCTTCGATTCCCAAGCTTCTGAGAGCCGCCCCGGCAGTAGTTCAGCACCGCCTCCCAAGGGCCTTTTCAGAGATCATAACCTGGGTTACAAGAGAGCCTGTTAGACCGGCAGCTCTCATTTCTCCAGTGATGCATCCTGACCCCTCGACCCGGCAGCCCTGGGATCGAGTCCCACAGATACTGTTCTGCTAGTGCGGCGGGGCTCCTGCGACTCCTCCCACACCGAACGCCTTCACACCTTCCTCAGACCAGGACTGTGTCGCTACATGGCCCTAGTCATGGGTCTGGGTGCCAGGAGGGGAGCTGGGAGCAGATCCCGGGAGGGCACAAGCTGGCTTGCAGGGCGCAGTGCTCTGGGTCAGCCGTCTTTAGGTCAGGGGCGGCCAGAGCAGGAAGGGAGGTGTTCTGCAGGCCTGGGGTGGGGAGTTGCAGGATGGGGTGACCTGGGTTCTAAGCCTCTCAGGTGGACTTCCCCCATGGCACATCTGGGTCTGAGGACTCCTGCTCCCGACCTCAGCTCTAGTCCTGGCGGGGAAGACGTGTGTAGGCTGAGACTTCAGGCTTCTCTGGACGTCAGCCTCCCTCATGACTAAGCCCGTGGCCTAAGGCCAGATGTCCCTGCAGGAGACATGAGTGTGTGTGCGCTGCCAAAGGATCTCTGATGTTTACACTTTGCACTAAATATTTACCAACTATCAAACATCTGATTCACAGAAGACTTACATCAGGCTAATGCAGAACTCATTCATCTGAGAAAGTGAACAAAAATTGTATTTTTCTCAGAAGAGTGAGAGTACTTAATAGAAATATATTCAAAGAATTTAATATTCACATGAATCAAGCATGCGTGGGGAGATGCTGACAGAGTGATCTTTAAGGAG